CCACCCTCAGATCTATCCACACCTAGAAGCTGAATGGTGTGCTGATGAACTTCATAAAATGATACACTGGCCAGAAAGCATTTCAATGCTAAATACTAAATATAGTTACTGTCTGTGGTGGTTTGAACAAGAATGGTTCCCACAGGCTCATATATTTAAATGTGTAGTCATCAGAGAATAGCTGATGGATTAGTACTTAGGATTAGGAGGTGTGGTTTTCTTGGAGTAAATATGTCACTAGAGGTGGGCTTTGAGGTGTTAGAACCTTAAGCCAGGCCTAGTGGCTCTCTCTTTCTGCTGCCTGCTGATCCAGATGTGGAACTCTCAGCTACGTCTCCAGTACCATGCCCCACTACATGCTTCCTTCTCCTCCATACCCCATGAAGGCAATGGATTAAACCTCTGAAACTATAACCAAGCCACGATTTAATGCTTTCTTTTGTAAGAGTTGCCACGGTCATGTTGTCTCTTCACAGCACTAGAACACTGACTAAGACATTGCCTGTCAGCTCCCAGCAAGCCAAACCTCTCTCTCTTCAAAATCTCCTTTCAGCTTGATCATGCAGTCTTTGGGGAAGGGAAAGACAAGGACACCCAACTAGGTAGGGTGGCCAGATCTCACCCAATAGTAAATGTCCACAGAACTGAGGGGCCTCTGTGTGATATGAGTTTTGTCCTAACATGTCTGGATGTTAAAAAAAGATTGCAAGGTAAGCTGCTCTGCTTTCAAATGCAATACAGCCTTGCTCTTTTAACTGCCTAAGAATGAAGAATCACTCTCAGCAGGTGATCCTACTTGCCAGTTAATAGGAACTTCAGTCTGAAGACCCACAACCACAAACAGCTGACCAACAACTCGGTGGCCATCTGGGCCCAGATGCAGCGCTTTAGGTTGGTCCACTCCAACATCTATTCCATCTATGAGCTGCTAGAGCAGGTGAAGGAGCTAGTGCTGAAGAATCAGATCCAGGAACAAGTCATCTCCATAGAGGATGAAAACCTGAAGAAGCATGGCTGTGACTGAAGCCAGCACCCACCACGACAGAGCAGCTCTGTGGAACCTACGAGAGAGACCCATGGAGACTCCAAAGGGAGACGAGGTGGTAGCAGAGGAGTCTGCAGAGCCCACAGTGTCCCCAGAAGAAAAGATGGCAGGACAGATCTGGGTAGGCAGGGGAGAATGCTAAAACTATAGATGGAAATGACATGGTCCTTGCTGTAGCCAGAAACTATGTGGAAGTCCATGATCAGTCTGTGCTGCTGCTGACTACTAAGGGCAAGGAAGCTTCTTTTGTAGTGGCGTGGACGACTGCAGATCCACAGTTGAGAATGACACCTCTCCCACCTCCCTACCCCTGCTTAAAAAAAAAATCAGTCTAGATCAGAAGCCATTGATGAAAACTCTTAAAATTGTGATAAGAATACTGAAGTACAGCTTCTCACTGTTGATGGCTTTTGTTGTTAGGGGTAAGGTAGAAGGAATCGGTTATCTTTAAGCAGTTGGCCACTGGGAGGCCCTTGAGGCATATGCTCCAGTGATTATATGAGCCTCACAAATTAAGACTTGCTATTTTTTCTTTTCTTCTTCTGTTTTGGGGGAGGTCACAGGGCAGGAGGTCATTAGGGGGAGGTCACAGGGTGGAGGTCATTAGGTGGAGGTCACAGGGTGGAAGGTAGGAGGCAGGGCTGTGAAGCAAATGGCATCGGGGAACATTATGGGAAATTTCCAAATAATAAAATCATTAGGTTACAAAAAGAAGTTCAACAACCTTTACTGCAGTCTGTTACGACCCTCAAACAACCCACAAAGAAACTCTGCCCCTTCCTTTCAGAGCCCTTGTCTTCCTTCTTACCCCTTTATGATCTCTACTGTGCTTCCTGGAGCAGCACCTCCCTGTCTCAATGACTCTTTCCTCCACTTGACTCTGCCTCACAAGCACTTAATCAAGTTTAGGTTTTTCACCCAAGAGAACGAATGTTGCTTAACGTCTCTCTGTAGCTACCCCCATCCCTCTCGGTTATTCCTTTTATAGCAATGTTTCTTACAAGTGCTTCTATTTTTTTGACTTGCAACTCAGTGCAACATAGACTGACGGCATCTTCTCCTTCACCTTGCAGCTGGGCAGTCCTTTCTGTCTTCCTCATCTCTATGTTGTAGTTAAGTACTCTGTTATTCTTGCACTACTTCCTACTTGATTAGTAATCACGTGCTCCTCCTTGTTTTCTGCTGATCCTTTGTTAGGTCTGAGAATGAAACATTCCCAATAGGCTCAGGTTTGGAATGCGTAGGCCCAGAGGATGGGATTATTCTGCAAAGTGTCAACATTTTGAGACACAGGGCCTGAGTAGAGAAGTAGATGCTAAGATTGCTCCCTTGAAGGTTGTTATACCAGAACCCAGTCTGCTCCTTTCTCTGCTTCTTGTGACCTGTCTGATAGGAGGTCAGAACTTCCCATTTTCTACTCCTATTGCAATGAGACGAAGGGCCATGGACTGAGCCCTATGAACTCTTTGAAACTATTAACTAGAGTTAATCCTTTCTCTAGTTTCTGGCAGATATTTTGTCACATAGCTGAGATAGCTAACTAATGCAGCTGGACTTTCTTCCCCAGTCTTCTGAACATGTTCCTTTCTCAGTTCTTCTCCTGCTCTGGGCAACCACCATTCTACTCTCATGAGTTCAGCATCATTTCACTCTCATAAGGTAAAATTATGCAGTTTAATCTGTGCCTGTGCTATGTCACTAAATATGGCCTCCCCCAGTTATCTATGTTGTCATAAACAACAGGATCCCTATTTTGACAGGCGACGAGTACTCCTAGTGGACAGACCATATTTGCTGCACCCACTCTTCAGATGATGCACATGATGCTGCAATGAATTATGAGAGTTCAGAAATCACTTTAACATACTGATTAAATTTCCTTTGGATATTGTTCTAGTTTGCTTTGTGTTGCTTTGATAAAACATTCTGACCATAAGCAACTTGGGGGAGAAAAAGTTTATTTTAGCTTATACTTCCAGGTCACAGCCCATCAGTAAAAGAACAAAAAGTATATTTATTTATGAGTCATCTTATAAATTTGTTTATTTTTTCAGGGTTTTCAATTTGTTGACACATTATTGAAAGTAGACTCATCCATTTTATTTCTGTAACAAAATTTATAATGACTCCTTTATTACTTCTCATTTTATATACTTGTGTCTTTCTTTTGCAGTCTAAACACTTCTAAATTTATCTTTTAAAAATGTGTTTCCTTGGCTTTCTTTTGTTTTAGAGTCTATTTCATTTGTTTCTGCTCTAGTCATTTTCTTAATTAAAAATACTTTATGTCTTTAAGTGTTTTTCCTGCACATGTGTCCATGGGCCACAGAAAGCCAGAAGAAAATCTGAGATCCACTGGAGTTACAGACGGTTGTGAGCCACCATGCGGATGCTGAGAATCGAACCCAGGTCCTCCAGAGGGAACTGCAGAGTTATCTCTCCAGTTCCTTGGCTCTGGGTTTTATTATCTCTTCCTCCTAACTTTGGGTTCAGGCTATTTTGTAAGCCTAAGATCTAGGCCATCACCTGCATGGCTCCTCAGGTTCTAAACCAGCATAGTGGTGCCAGGTAACAGCCAGCACCACAATCCATCTCTAACAGATGGAAATTCCATCCCCTGCCCAGCACTGGGCCAGCCCCACGCATAGAATTTATATACTTGATATCTAGCATAATGACTGTCATTTAGAAGACCTAGAAAAAACATGATGAATTGATTTGTTATACTCTTTGAGGGTAAGGTGAAACTTAAAATGACTTTTGGCATACTTTATTATTTAAAATACAACCACTGCTGGGCAGTGGTGGCACACGCCTTTAATCCCAGCACTTGGGAGGCAGAGGCAGGCAGATTTCTGAGTTCGAGGTCAGCCTGGTCTACCGAGTGAGTTCCAGGACAGCCAGGGCTACACAGAGAAACCCTGTCTCGAAAAAAAATAAAATAAAATAAAATAAAATAAAATAAAATAAAATAAAATAAAATAAAATAAAATAAAATAAAATAAAATAAAATAAAATACAACCATCCACTGGGATTTGTTACTGGCTTATAACACAGCCATCACCTCTCACTCATTTTCACAAAACTATTACACTAGGCAGGTGTTACTATCAATCCTATTTTATACTTGAAGAAAGAACAGAAGTTTAGTGACCAGCCCAAGGCAGAACTCAATATTACATGAGTGTCAGGACCAAGATTCTTCTGAAAAATCACGTTTACTGAAATATTCAGATGTATATGGAATAAAGTATTCTTCAGTGATGCTTCAACTTATCTTCTCTGCAGAACGATATTTTGAGATTTTAAAATATAAAATGGATTGTCCAAGAAAATTAAGTGTGTATTACTTAATTTGTAATGCTTATAATTTTTTATATATTAATACTTTTTAATTTAATTTTAATTACTGTAGTTCACATTCCCAAAAGGTAGTAAGATATCAGTCTCTGCAGCTGTCACAGGCTTCCATGTTTATTAATACTATAAAGACCTAAGAGTAGAATCCAGCTCACCTGTTCTTGGAAAGGTTATAGCTACATGCCATTAGAAATTTTGACTGGTCATGGCAACATTCTGAGTTGCATATACTCTCAGCATCCTTAAGCGTGCAATCATGAGCAGACAGACACTTGCAGCAGTGTTCCAGCCTGATCGAGGAAGTATACTTTCTTGATATGGGATGGCACAGACCAGCCACAGCGCAAAGCTAACTTCTCACAGCACACAGTCTTCCTTTTAGAGTGGTTCCCAGTCACCTAACATCTGATACTCTCTACTGAGTGTTGCCACAGGGTCCAGAGACAGGTAGCAGGAGCCACTCGGACTTCTGACACCCAACCGGAATATTATTTTCACAGTACACAGATATGTAAAATAGTCAAGCAATTGTTTTACATTCAACTTATGGGACATGTCAGTAATTTTAAAAAGAAAAAAAGAAGGGATACTTACAATACATCCTTAAAGTCTCCAAAAACATACATATGCCTAAAACTGTCAATGGCTATGACGGGGCAGTCTGCTGGAGTTTTCTGGATATGGAGAAGAGGATGTCTAAATTTGTCACAATCTGCATGTAAGAAATTTATTGTACCTTTGAAAGAAACAGAATTTTAAGAACTACATTAGATTTTTAAACTGTATTTCTAATTATGAACTTACAAAAATAGCATAATAAACATCAACATTCTTGAAATTGATACGAATCAGAAAAATTAAAACCTAAACAGTATATTTAAAAGAAAAATTTTTAGTCTCAGAGCAGAGTATAATTCACTTAGAAATTATAAGGGAAATTATAGGAAAATTCAAATTTAAATGCTATTGTGATGTGAATTTTTATTTCTTCAATTGGCAGCCATCTACTATATAGGTTCCCCAAATTCTGACACACACACTGCTCCCTTGGGACCATCTTCATGCCCCTTGTAGCCTAAATGGCTACTTTTAAATCTAATTCAAACCCAGATATTCACTAAATGACTAAAATAGGCAGCTCTTTACCACACCATCAATTTACATGGTTTGATCTTTTATCCTCAGTGTAGAGAGGGAGCTGTTTGACACCCCACATTCTGCTAAGGTACAGAAAAATGCAGACAGACTTTCATACAGAAATAAATGTGGATCAGCAAGTGTCATTTCTTAGCAATGTCTCAGGAAATGTGTCAGAGAAGCATCTGGGTACTAGAAAATGGTTCCCCAAATAACACTGTTCACCCAGAACCCCACAAGCACATAGAAAGCCTGTTTCACATCATAACCTCAGTGCTTCCTTCCTCCATAGCTAAATGCATGTTAAAGTATCCTGGGAAACTGTTATCCTACGTGTGTGTTTAAGGCAAATACGGACCAGAAAAGGAGGAGAAAGACAGTTGAGAAAGAGGAAGCCAGACACCTTCAACAGTCTACCTTTTTCACTTATCAACTGCCGGGCTACTTCATTCTGGAATATTTCTAAACTTTCTGTATCCTCCTTCATGTGGAAGAGTATGAGAAAAGGCAGTCCTTCTTCTGTCAGTTCCTGTGGAAACAGGTTTTCAATGAAAATCAGTGCTGTTTTCCAAGTGGAACAAGTGTGGACTCAATTCATATAACTAACAGTTACAAGCAATCATTAAAAAAAGGCTCTGTGTGAAAAACAATAAGACTTAACAAAAAATGAATTCAACCCTTTGCATTTTAGGCAGTCACTAAGGAAACATACATGTCCTGCTTTGTTATATACATGGATTCACTTGGAAGGTCCTTGGGCAATCTGTTAGCCCAGAGTTCTCAACCTGTGGGTCACAGGGTCATCTATCAGACACCCTGCATATCAGATATTTCCAATATGATTCATAACAGTAGCAAAATTACAGTCATGAAGTAGCAAACAAAATAATTTTATGGTTGGGTTCACCATAACTTGAGGAACTGTATTAAAGGGTCACAAGCTTTAGAAAGGTTGAGACCGCTGTATTAGCCAGTACTGCATACGTGAGTACAGGGGCAGTCTCTTGAAGACAACATTGAGAGAAGAAAGAACTATAGTCAGTTCTTAATCCAGGAGTGAGACAAACATTGAGGATTACTGCCAGTCTTCACAAGGAAGACTGAAAGCACAAATGTGTAAGCAGTAAGTCAATTTCATTCATAAATTCATGCCTATTCTAAAGTGTATATTAAAAATCACTTCACTATGTGAGACCTACCCAAAGCTGAAAAGTGTTTTTTAACACTTTAAAAACACTTTAAAAAACAAAACTCCACAATTAGCTGCCCCAGCTAGTGCACATATACAGAGCACCTTGAAAACAACAAAGTGCCATTAAAATTTGTATTTCTGTTAATTTAGAGTAAAAGAAACAGGAGAAACAGTACATTTGAATAATCTATCTTAACAAATGCCATGTTCTTATTTGTATGGGAAAGTCCAGAAAGGCCTCCACGTGTAGTTATTTCTGCTAGCAATCCTTCTGAGAATCCAATTTAGGAACTGCCTCAGCTTGAAGCACAGATATCGTTTATCTTTAATAATGATATTTTTTTAAATCCCTGAGACCCATCACATGAGACTATTTTTGGTTCCTATCTTGTATTTAAATTTGTTTCACTTGTATATATAGATAAATAAATAAGTTTATCATATTATCCCTTCTTCTAATTGAGAGGTAACTTTTAGCCACAAAAGTCCACCATTTAAAGTGCACAGTTTGCTGTTATATTCACAAGATTGTGCAAAAATCATCACTCATCCCAGAACACACTCATCACTCCAAAATTAAACCTTACACCTATTAGCTGCCACTCTCTTTTTCCCCCACTCCCATTTCCTGGCATTACATTTATCTTTTGGTAATTCAATTTAAATTTTCTTCTTCCTCATCTTTTATCTTTTGGGATTACAGTTTTTCCTAATTCTCATTTACAGATCCCACGCCCCGTATTTCTGTCTTTGGACTTTTCTGCTCTGGCTTAGTAATTTCCCCCTAGTGCAATAGTTTTTATTATCAGCTCATAGGGATCCCTTAGCTCTGTGTACAAGCCTAGCTCAATCCAGAATTAACAGGTAGGTTTCCAAGGGCATCACAAACATCCAGGGTGAGTGACAATGCTCACTCCTACCTCCTCGCCTCCTTAGCACACACTTTTCTTTCAGCCCTTGCTTCAGGACTGCAATGTCTCTTCTTGAAACCAATACCCCCAGTCCACCCAGTTTCTAAAGAAAAAAAAAAAAGTTTCTCCTTTGAATTCTTAGGGTTTTCCTTAGTGTCCTTCAGGTGGCACTGGGCACATATTATTCCTTTCTCTGGACATGTCAAAAACTGACCACCAAGCCCTGAGGGCAGATACTCTCACTCATGCCTGGTTCTGTTCCCCAATTTCCCATACAGAAAGATCTGGCAAACACATGACAAAATACAAGAAGAGTGTTGCTTAATAAATACTACTGCGGAAGAAGACTGGTCATTTCCCAGAGGGAATACAAGAGCTAGGAAACTAAAATAAAAGCACATGTCGCATTACTTCATTACACTCAACAGAAGTATATATGAACATAGAGCTATTAAGAAATAAGCAACAGACAAATTTGGAAACATGATATTACTTAAAATACACAGCAATGAATTTTCCAAAATCAGACGTGGAAACTGGTGATTCACGTGATTCCTAGGCTTCCATGTCTATGTCTATACCAATAAATGCCTTACCGAGAACATATAAAGTATTAGGAAAATTCTAAGACAATCTGATTCAAGAGAAACAAATTCTTTGCTATGGTTTAAGTAATTCATGGTGGTTATTTCCAACATATACTAAATCTTAAGACGTATTACTTGTGGAGCTGTGGAGATGGCTCAGTGGGTAAAAGTGCTTGCTGTGTGACCCTAATGATGTAGGCTGTATCCCTAACACAGCACTCACATAAAACGTCAGATGTCGTGGGACACATCTATAATCCCTATACTCTCCTGGGGCCATGAGAATCTGCAGGAGCTTATAGGCTAACAGTGTAGAATATATAGTATAAACGGAAACAAGAGACCCCGCCTCCAAACACAGGAGAAGAGAAGCAACTTGGAAACCCTTTCCCCACCACACATAGAGAATCAATAAAAGAAGTAATAATTTAAAAATACAGAATTATTAAATGTGGTAACTTCCATGGGGGGAAGAAAAAGTTGAATTAAAATTTTCCAGGTCTAATTTTTTTAAACTCTGTTTTTAAACTATTCTGACAAGAACTGCGGAAGCACATGTATTGTGCATTATCTTTCAAATCTTCTCGAGCCATTGAGCCAAAACACACACAAGTTCTGGAGAAATACAAACACAATCCAACATCAATCATCTAACGAGCAGTCTACTCTGCCCTTTTCCTTAAAGTTAAGGATAGGGACAAACTAAAAAGACTTCAAAATAATTGTCCAATCTTTTCTTTCTATTTCTTTCTAATACCAGAAAAACCTTTAATGGCAAAGGATTGCCCACTGTAACTAAGATCTGTCCATCAAAAGGTCATCCACTGAGACGGGGTCCTTACCCAAGGGTGGGTATTGGAAGCACATCAATATTACTTTCAAGTCCTTCTTCAAGAGTATTACCAACCATTGCCATTACTGGAAATGTAAGAAGGATTGTGGAACAGTGAAGGCAGGAAGCCAGTGTGGATGCACTATGACACAGCTAGAGCACAAGTGTGCCCAATGGACGACTCTTACAACTGGTAACTGCTCAACAGCATGAGGAACAGAGCGATGTGTTCTTTTACATAACCGAATTAAGATTACCCACGGTGAAGCCCATACCTCTCCATTTTCAAATGTTATTTCTCGGACAAGAGGGACACATTTATCTTGAATCCAGTTGTAAGTTACATCAAAATTTGTCATAGATCCCAAGTACACCATGTCTGGCACAGAACGCTGTTATAAAAACAGAAGTAAAAATTAGACTACTGAAATCTTTGCTGGTAAAACACATTAGAAAAAGGACAAACTGTGATAATTAGGAACTTGGAATTTAACTTGTGATATAAAGACCCTCCCCAGATTTAAGACAATTATCTACCAGCAATTTCATCAAATGCAGACCACTTTAAAAAGAGAACTACCCAAATGAAGTAACGAAGCTATTTCTTTCATTGAAAATGTTTTGATGGTCAGTCAGACTCACTGTGAAAAAGAAAAGATGCTGGGGGTCTAAGGCAAGCACACCTCTAGTAGGAATCAGCTATGGCTGTTTTCACTCTAAATCAGAGTATACCCAATACATAAAATGACTGAAAAACTGCTGTTGAGTTCAGGAAACATTGTGTCTAGCACTGTCCCAGGCACTGGGTGATGATTCATTTACTTCTCCCAGCTTCCCAACCCTGCAAGTTCTAGTACTCACCACTTATTTTTCTTAATGACAGAAATCTAAAGCACTCAGAAATGAAGAAACACTCCCATAACATAGGCAAAGGCACAGTCTAAGGCCAGAGGCCACGCTCATTTAATGTCCATACCATAGTAGAGACACTCTTGGGTTCTGATAAGCTAGAGATGGTGACACTGTGTAACTACTACTAAAGAAACACACCTAGGAATGCACAGGCAAATGCCTATCTGTCTAGGTCTGAATACAGCTTGTGTGTCTTCTAAAAGTTCATGAGCTGAAAGCTTGGTCCCATGTGGATTCAAGAAGTGGCAGAACTTTTAACCAAGTGGTGAGGGTGGAAGAGTGCGTACGTCACTGAGGTGCCTCCCCCAGAGGGGATTAATGTAGGTTTGCAAGACTCCATTTAAGCTTTATAGGAAAGAACAAGACTGGTCTCGACTGGTCTCTGGTTTCCTATCTCACTACACAATACATTCTGCACATGGCTTTCTCCTTCCTACTCCTTCATTATGTGGTGATACAATTTGGGGAGCCTTCTGAGTGACAGAAGGAGCAAGCCAGTCGTAGATTTTGAGCTTCACAATTGTGAGCAAAAGAAGACTCTTTTCTTAAGCACTTCACCTCAGATATGATACAGTAACAGAAACAGATTAAAATAGTATCAGAATTAGGAATAGAAAATGAGGTTTAAAAGTAATGGTGAATTATTTCTCTACATAAAAAAATAAATCTAGTATCAAAACATTATAGACACATTAAAATAAAAAAAATATAATCTTGGCCTGGTATGATGATACATGGCTTTAATCTCAGAACTTGGGAAGCCAAAGCAGGTGAAAATTTATGAGTCTGAGGCTAGCCCAGTCTACATAGTGAGTTCCAGGACAGCCAGAGCCACATAATAGAGACCTTGTCTCAAAATACAAAAAAAAAAAAAAAAAAAAAAAAAAAAGTATGAAATACAACAACAAAAAACCCTCAAACCTAACTACCTAACTATGACCTGGAAAAAAATTCATGTTTATATTTTTGGGATGTGAAACATTCATGGTGATTATCTTTATGTCAATTTAAGAAATCATAGAGCAAATTTTGCCTTAGTTGTTCCTATCATTATTCAGTATACCCAACTATTTCTATATTTAAACACACTTACAAATAATTTAGTCAAGAAGAGAACCTGGCACGGTGATTCTGTTTAATGGACAGAGTATTAACCCAACTCTGAACGGCATTGTGTTACACCAACAGACTCATGCACCTCAACTCTCAGCATAGAGCCTTCTATTCGCAGTACATGGCGACTGGAAAAGACAGCCACTACTAATCAAGGTACAAGAAATAAGAAACTATTTCTTAGGGAACGCTAAGCCTAAAAAACCCATATATCTCACACCCATCCTCTTAAGGCTCAGGATCATTGCAGAAGAGGGGGCAGAAAGGCTGTAAGAGCCCGAGGGGTAACGACTGCACAGACACAGTGCCTGTGGACACAGCAGCTATGGCCGCATGCACATGCAACACTGTGTGAGACCACACCAGACCAAATCCAACATGGAGCAGGAAGCTGGGCATACAATCCCTCTCCTATCAGTTGAGTTACTGGCAACTCATAGCTACAGGGAGAGTAAGGATAGCCAGCTTTCTGCTGGGGTGTAAGCCTGGTAAGTCAATCTCTCTCTCTCTACTGGAAAGCTACATACCTAAGAGTATTTAAGTACTGAGAATTAGGAAGAGTTGGGGGAGGAGAGTGAATATGGCATACAGTATGAAATTCTCTAAAAGAACTGATTTAAAAAAAAGTTTATTTTGGAAAATGGAAAAAAGGAAAAACTATTTAGCCAAGTTTAAAACAAACTAGGTGCTTTTACTGTCAAGAAGCTCATTTATACCCTAGCAGGTCTAGAAGTTGGCAGGTACAAGTGGTGACAAACATGGGTTCCTGTATATCTTCAACATTTAGCTCCCAGTAACAGAGACAGACAGGGAGACAAGTCAGGGGTCTCTGATGGCACTGCAGACCTGTACTTTCGGGCTCCTGTGACCAATCTTCACTCTGAAACATGGATTACTAGACCATGATGGTTTCAAAGTTACATCATTTAGTCACAGCAGGACAAGCCTTTACTCCCTTTACCACTCTGGAGGCTGAGGCAGAAGGATCTCAAGTTCAAAGCAAGCCTGGTACCTTAGTGAGAGACCCTATCTCAAAAACAGTAAAAGGCCAGAATGCAAAAATATCTGAGTGCTTGCCTGGCATACACAAATCTTTGTTTGGTTCAATCCCTAGCACTTAAAAAGTTAAAAATTAATCAATGAGTCTACTAGCATTTAAAACAAAACTAGGCTTATATTATAATTGTATTAGATATGGTGTCTTAAGCAGTCTGTAAAACAGCAACTCACCCCTGGTGGTTTGTAGATTAAATTGTCTCCACTGTACCTTTCTGGTTTTGAAAGATCTCTGATGAGGAAAAAAGCATAATAATGTATTAAGGAAAACATGGAAAACAATGTACGTTAATAAAACAGACTTCATTAATCATTGCAGTGTATGAATTATAAAACCATGAAATATATTCTTGTTCATTATTTGTCCCATCCACAAATCTATGCAATAGCAAGACAAGCATACATTTAAAGGCAAACTAAGATGAGGCAGACTTTTTAAAATAATGTTTCAGTCAGATGCTTTGGTATTATGATTTTATAAGCCTGGACTGGCAGGATCAGTGTGATAGCAATTTTGACTCTAGACTGATTTACACCTACAGATTAAGCACATTAATTTGTTCACAGAGATTAATAAAATACATTAACTTTATACTTTTTACTTTTTAAACTTGTAAATTCTAAAAAAAATATTGAATTGAAATAATCTACATCATAAAAAGTTTTAGAAAGCATGTTTGTACACTTGGAGTCATTTCCTAGGCCTAGTACAGCATCTTGCATACAAATATTTGGTCTTGTATAACAAATAGTTATCTAGTACAATAAATATGTGGTGAGAGAACGTTACAGAAAGCCCTAGGTCAAGTGAGTAAGTTTCTCTTCCTGTACATAATCTGAGGATTAAATAAACACTGATACATCCTTAGTTTCTAAAGAAGCAAAGGGTGCTAACCTTGACAGAAAGAAAGATAAGGAAGGAGCTCTAGTGGAGAAATGGGAGACACAGGTACTATGAAGAGGGAAATGGGAAAAGTGAAGAGGGGATGGAGGGCAATACTGAGAAAGAGCCAACAGGCAGAGGGATAAGATACTAAAGATTTCAAAAAGCCGTAGGGAAACATTATCTTATGTTTACTTAAGAGTCCATATGTATGTATGTATGTATGTATGTATGTATGTATGTATACGAAGTTCTAATGAAATTATACCACTGGGTGTGATGCTCTCTCCAAAAGCCATAACTATCTAACAAAAACCCAATTTGTCAGGCTTGGAACACCTTCTTTTTAGTTGTTGACAGAGTGAGTTGAGAGAGTACCAAAATAATATAGGCTACTGGTACTGTCTTTGGTTGCCCCTTAGAACTTCAAGGGACGATCCTGTTGCTGAAGACATTAAAACTTGGACACAGGTCTTGGAGAAATCAAACTGAAACTAACCTAAAAGCCCCCTCCCCGAGGACTTGTTCTCATAGTATCCGAAGATGCTATGTAATAGCCAAGGGAGAATGAAACGGCCCTACCTAGCTATAAAGCCTACAAACCACAAAATAACGAGCAAGGCAAGACATTCCCAAGTGTGTAACAGTGGCACCTACTGGGGCAAACAAAGCTGTATAACTGGACTTAACGACCTGCTTAATAGGAAGAAACCTATGCTTTGTATTGCAAACCTAGCCAGCTATCCACAGCTGCTGAGGTCATGGAACCTAGAAGAGAACTTACTGCTTCCATTTTCCTATAGTTTAATTTCTAACTGCATTCTAAATACTTACACCCACAGATACACAAAACTCATCACTCATCAAGAAGTTTCTTTTGTCAGCAGACTAATAAGACCATTACAGAAATCCAGAACTGGTTAAAATTCAGGAAAAAAGTGGCCATGAGGTACCAAAGCTAGTTGATACATCTCCAATACAACCCCTACACTAAAGTTCAGTGAATATAGTAGAAGAGGGGACAGAAAGACTCCAAGAGCCAGAGGACTCAGAAGATCTGTTGGGAGATTGTGTCTTCTTTATATGGCAGGGAAGCTGTACCCATGAAATCTCAACAATATGGCTGCATAAACAAGACTTACACAATGACAACATCAACTGACATTCCAACATGGACACAGAAATATCACAAGGCACCACCTTTAGAAGAGCTAAAGGCAGATAATTAATGGTTGCTGAGAGAGGAAGAATGAGCCTTCCCTAGGGATGAACCCACGGACAGGTTATCCAATCTGAAGTGATCATTCCTAAACAAATACACACTAAATGGGTTCAGCAAGATGTGTGTGTGTGTGTGTGTGTGTCTGTGTGTGTGTGTGCATGTACATATGTGTATACTTGTATATGTATTTATATATATGAAACAATAATTAAAGAAGCAGAGGTCATGAATTTGAGAGGGAGGAGGCTGTGTAGAAATGTAAACACACCAGTCATGTAGAATAGTCTAAAGAAACTGGAATTAAATGAGGTCACAGAAGAAATGAAATCAAAGCAGAAGGTAATGATATAGAAACAAAGAAAATATAACAAATCAGTTACTCTAATAGCTGGTTCACTGAGATGATAAGATCTACAGACTCTTGGCCCACTTAACAAAAAGAAAGAAAGCAATAACACACATTAACAGAATCAGAAATGAGCAGAGAACATCACAACAGACACCAAAGAAATACAGAATATTTTAAGGGAATACTTTTTAAAACTCTACTTCATTAAGTTGCAAAATATGAAAGAAATAGATGAATTTCTTGATTTATCCAAAATATTAAAATTAAACCAAGATGAGACCAACAACCAAAACAGACTCACAACAAAGGAGTTAACTGAAATTGTAATAAACTTCCAACTCTAAAATAAAAGCCCCGGTCCAGGTAGACTCAAAACAGACAATTATCAGACCTTCAAGGAAGAACCATAACCAACGTTTCCTAAATTCTGCAAAACAAAACAAAACAGAAACAGAAGGAAAACTCCAAAACTTGTTCTTTGAAGCCAGTATTATTCTAATACTCAAATCAGGTAATGATCAAACAAAACAAACAAACAAACAAACAAAAAACTACAGACTGTTATCCTTGATGAATAGAGAGGTAAAATCCTCAATGAGACTTAGCAGATTGAATACAAACTAATCAAGAAGCTCATCCACCATGATCAAGGTGGCTTTATCCTGGAAATTCAGGGTTGGTTCAACATCCATAAGTCAGTAGGTATAATAAACCATATACATGCACTTAAAGATAAAAAACACACGACTATCTCAATAGATGCAGAAAAAAATATCTTTGACAGAATACATGTTTTCATGATACAAGTTCTAGAGGGTAGGACTGAAGGAAACATACATATATAGATAGTAAGAACTATATATGACAAACTTACATTATTCTAAATGAAGAAACACTGAATAATCTCATTAAAATTAAGAGCAAGACAGAGCTACCCACTATCCAACTACTCCCTTGTAATACACTGCTATAAGCACTAGATGGATCAATAAGACAAGAAAAGAAAATTATAGGTATACTAATAAGAAAAGGAGGAGTCAAACTGTCTCTATTTGTAGATGATACACTATTATACATAAAGATCCCAAAAAAACTTCACAAGAAGACGTCTAGAAATAACCAACAATTTCAGAAAAGTAGGACAGTGCACAATCAGTAGCTTTTCTATAGATCAAGAGAGACATCATGAGCACAGTTCCAATTAACAGCATCAAATACAACAAAATATCTTAGAATACACCCAACCAAGGAGGGAAAAGACCTCTACAATGAAAACCTCAAATCTTTGAAGAGATTGAGAAAGACATAGTGGCCATGGTTTAGCAGAATTGATATTATGAAAATGATCATCCTACCAAAAGGAATTTAGAGATTCAATGTAGACCAAATAAAAATAGTCACAACATTCTTCACAGAAATAGAAAAAAAAAAGTCTAAATTCATATGGAACCAGAAACAATTCTAGATAGCCAAAACAATCCTGAGCAAAAAGAATACTAGGAGATTGATATTGCAGATCTCAAGATATACCATAGAGCCATAGTGACCAAAGAATAAAAGAACAGAATGGTACTGGCACAAAGCAGACACGATCCAACAGGACAAAACAGAAGACCCAGCAAATATGAGTACTTGTAACTATAACCATTTGATACCGACAAAGGCAAAGACATTCCCACATTACAGAAAAGACAACATCTTCAACAAATACTTCTGAGAGTTTTCTCAGTGTGGACATCAGTTTTGATGTCCATATTTAGAAGAATTAAATTAGACTCATACCTATAATCCTGCATAGAAATTAGATCCAAAAGTATTAAAGACCTCAATTTAAAGCCCGAAACACTAAAACTGCTAGAAGAAAACATAGGCAGCACCCTACAGCGTATGGGTGAAGAAAAGGACGTTCTGAACAGACTACATAAGGATTTAAGGATAACAATGGGTAACTGGAAACTTGCAAAACTAAAAAGCTTCTGTACCACCAAGGAAACAGTCTAGTCTCACAGAATAAGAACCTTTGCCAGCTATATATCTTAAAGAAAATTAATAACCAGCATATACAAAGAACTCAAAACACACATACACACATACACACACACACACACACACACACACACAGGTCAAGGAAACAAATGTCCCAATTTAAAATATGGGCTAGATTTCTATACAGAGTTCTCAATTGAAGAAATAAAAATAGCTTAGAAATACCTCAAAAAGCGTATATCATTCTTAGCAATGAGAGAAATACAAATTAAAATGCCTTTGAGAGTTCATCTCATTGCACACAGAATGGCACAAATGTTGGTGAGGTTGTAGAAAAGAAGAACCTCATTTACTGTTGGATGCAAATTAGTTCAGCCACTCTGGAATCTTAAAAAATCAAAACTACTTCCAGAGACAGGAAAAACAGAGGCTCTAAGGCAGAGGCTAGCTCAAAGTGTCTGAGGTGGGTCATATGGCACACATATTACACATAGACAGCAGTGATGTGAAAGCCCGGGCTGGAGGTGTTCCCACCTATGCTGTACACTGATAATGCTCACAGTGAAACACCAATAAAATCCACAAAAGCATGAAAGCAAGAACCAAGAGTCATCAACTGGAGAAGGCATCACAACAGCTATTTTATTCAGCCTAATACAACGATAAAGAGCCCCAAAGAAGTTACACTACACAACAGCCAAAGGTAGCTAAGATAGCCTCCAAGAAGAGATTGTCAAGGACAGAACCTTGAATAATTACATTCTGAGATAAAAGAAACAAGAAGAGAAAGGACCTGTGAGGGGCAAACCAGAGAGATTCAATATCAAGTGTTCTCAAGAGGAGAAAAAAGAAAGGAGGTGATGTTTCCACCTTCAGAGAATTTGAGGGGATAAACTGAAGAAAACCTACTATGTTAAACAATCAAGGAGTCAGAGATAAGCTTCATTAGAAGAAAGTCAGATTCCAAGAAGCTAAGGGTTTTTCTTTGGAAGAGTTTGAGAAAGACAAGGTAACTAAGCATAAAATACCCTTTAAAAAAAGTAGAAACGAAAAAAAAAAAGGTGGGTTTATAGCTCAAGATGAAAGTGGTGAGTTAGAAAAGAGAGAAGCATGATTTTGGCTAAAGAAAGCAGTTTCTGTCTGGGTCAGGGTGAAACTATGAGAAAGTGTGGAGACCTGATGGATCAGAGTCCCAGAGATAGCTATAGGGATAGTCTACAAGAGTGAAAAGATCAATATTAGAAAGGCAAACTTAAGACTGGAACTACAGATCAGGGTGGAACAGAAGCTTAGCATGTATAAAGCCCTGGTATGGATTCCCAGCTGAGGGAAGTATTTGTATGTGCATATGTATGTGCATGTGCATGTGTATGGAGGGTGGGGTGTGTTATTTTGATATGACCAAATACAACAAGAACTGAAAGTGAAAGAAAGATATGAAGGAAGGTGGTAGAGACATGGGGATGAAGGAAGATAACAAACTTATGCTTCTTAACTAGAAAGAGAACATGCTCAGTCACCTGAGCTGTCATGGGTTAGCAGTTTGCCTGGTATAAGGGTCAGTGAATCAACCAAATAAGAGTTCATGATTAACTGAGCCATTCCTATGCTTTTACCTACACTCTGAAATATAACCCAACAGAAAAACAAACAGTAAGGCCCTTAAAGGATTAGTCTCATGTATAAATACTGGTTGGAGACTTGAAAAGTTCTGAGGTCATCTTTAGAACATGACCAAATACAACAAGAACTGAACATGATAGCCATGCTCACCTCCTAGCAGGCTGCCAATTCACATACTTACCCAAAAGCAGAAAGGAAGGCACAGTCATCATGCAAAATACTTGCTACTCTTTCAAAAACTCTGTAATTATCTGAATCCTTCTGCTCAAAGTATCCAATGATATTTCTCTTACTGCGCTGTAAAATAAAGCATCTAATTATTTTGCAACATATAAAATTGTAAGTGCATGCTGCTTCATTTATTCTTTATTCTGTAACTCAGGTAACTCTGTTTATAGTTCAGTTAGTTCAACTGAAGAAAAATTATAGATGCAGGGATAGCATTTAATGCCTAGTCCAAAGCTATGAGCAATTATGCTGGGTTAAAAACAATATGCTACAATAAAATGTAACTGTAACTTTACTAACAATGCATGACCTCAGACTCTTCCACAGGTCTTCACCTGCCTCCACATAGCACTGTGTATGTTTACTGCATAAGACCCTGTCCACTCTCTATGCAGGCCAGTTCTTACGGCTGTGCTTGCAGACAAAACATTAAGGTTGGCATATTGTCTTGTTCAAGACAAAAAAAGGAAAACTTACTGCTTACTCTGAAATGGCAAGCTCTCCAAGCCTAGCCATCCCTTCCTGTGTACCACAACCTGTATGAGCATCCTGTATGAGCATCCATAGTGGCCCTTTGCATTTTCTAACAGGACTTACAGGCTGGAGGACAGCAATAACAAGACAGGCTCATCAGCTCACAAGGTTTGCTGTGATGTGAGCCATAAACATCCTTCATGTCTGGCTCAGGAGCTATGTTCCTCTGACAGCAACCATAAAATAGGAAGTGGCTAATTTATTAATTTGTCACTTGATAGAGACTGGAATAAGGACTAAACACTATAGTTTAAACTTTTGGTGTTTGTGTGCTATTTTTTAATAATTACTTAGTTTACAAAGAAAGGATTTGCTAAGTAAGTTTATCTATCAAGAGAGGCTCCTTTAAAGGACACTAAATTGTAGAAAGAGCTGAAATGGTGATGAAAGTAGATACTCTGTGGGTATCAACCAAGGGAAATGGGAAAACTGGTGTGTGTGTTTGACTTAAACTTCTATTTATAATTCTGGTTCCCTTTGCCTACACTAATCAATTAGTGTGGCTATATTGTATACTACACATTTTATCTGAAGTTTGGTAAACATTAGAGATTCCCTTGAGAATGAATCCCAGACAAAGTCTTTCCAGTTTGTATATGTCCAGTACGTTGCAGTAAACTGTAAGAGAATGTGCAGATTCTGTATCTGCATTTTGGTTTGTTCACATTAATTACACAGGCAGTGCACACTTCATCCACCATAAGTAACTTACATCAAGAGTGGTGACTTCATCTAGACTCTGAATCTCGTGGACTGGGTTACTTTTCTGTTGCCTGATGTAGTCTGCAAGCGCTTTCACTGATCGCTGGCCCCTGTATTCTCTCTTCATCATCATTCCATTACGAAATAATTTCAGGGTTGGGTATTTGCTTATCCTGTACCTCTGGGCTATATCAGCTAAAAGAATATATGAAAGGAAGTTAACTTTAGCACTCAGTCAGGGTGAACCTAATAGTTAAACAGTCAGAAACATTACAATTATTTATGATAGCTCTACTTTCTTGGTGAAAGAGAAAAGAAAATACTTTACACTGGTATCAGACCAGACTCTAGACTCACTGCCTGAACTTAAATTCTGAATCTCCTGCTTATAGGTTGCATAAATCTTTAACATGCATAAACTGTAATGCCCTCACTTTTCATCTGTTACAGGAAGGGTGACTTCTATTACAACAAGGGTTTTTTCATGAATCAAATACACATCACAGTATGGCACATGGATATCAGAATATAAAAATAGCAATATAATAACTATGCCTTGTGAGGTAGGGTATAAATTAAAACTACATGGCAATTGCAGCATATAAACTAGGAGGGGCGTGATATGCAGGAGGTAAATTACATATCCCAAGGCCCTTGCAGTGCTCAGAAAGTGGCAGAAGTACTTACAACATTTGCTAAGTCAAGGCTGCACTGTTTCTCTCCAGGACAAGCATTTAGAGAATACTAAAGGAATATTAGAGGTTAAGGTTGGAGTTCTCAAAAGAGATGGTAGATAAAAGCCTATATGTAAATGTGGATTAGTCACATAAACCTTCACTCTCCAGCACACTACATATGCTCTCTGACAAATAAACATCTACAGCAACACACAGAGACAATGACATTTAATTAAAATGCTTTAAAACAGGACTGGAGAGATGGCTCAGTGGTTAAGAACACTGACTGCTCTTCCAGTGGTCCTGAGTTCAATTCCCAGCAACCATATGGTGGCTCACAACCATCTGTAATGGGATCCGATGTCCTCCTCTGGTGTGTCTGAAGACAGCTACAGGGTACTCATATACATTAAATAAATAATAAGAAAAAACAACAAATAATTTTTAAAAACGGTTTAAAATTGGATCAACAGGTCCTCTGACCACTGATGCAATGGCTGTCTAGAGAATTGAAAATATCTCTCTTAAAAGTTAAAATTTTCCCAAATATCTCCCAGAGGCTGGTTTAATAAAGGATGGGTAACTTTATTAAAGTGTCCATAATATACAGTACCAGACTGTTACATAAGAGAATAAAAGAATGCTGTGTGTTTCTGAAGGATGCAGTATAAAGTGAAAAACCAGCAAGATGTGAGAGCAAAAAAATGTAGAGAAGAAATATAAATAAATGTGTGTACAAACACACAAACATGCTCCAGCTTAGACATTTGTCCCTCTTCTACTTTCAAAGGAGAAAAGAAGAAAGAAGAAAATTGAAAGAAAAGAAATAAGAAATGCTATGGAAGAAATTTAGATTTCATTCTTACATTTGGTTTTATAGTTCTGAGCTTGAAACCATGTAAATATTTAACATGGGTATAAAATATTTAAAACATTAATACCAATATTACTGCTTTGACAGATTTTTGGTAGATAAAGTATTTGATATCAATAATGTCACTAAGAATCAAGAGTCTCAGCCTAAGGGAATAAAATACAAAGTTGAGAAACACTTCATGCTATCAGCTTCGGCAAAGAATATTTGGATAAGACTTCCGAAGAACAGGCAACAAGAGCAAACAGGCAAATGGGATTACCTCAAACAAGCTGAAATACCCAACAAAGGGGAGAGAGAACTTGTAGAGACCATATCCAGTGGATCAGCACGGCTCCCAGTTGAGGGATGGGGCCACCCACCCACCTCAAAAATATTAGTCCAGAATTCCTCCTGTCAAAAGGAACTGCATGGACAGAGAGTGGAGCAGAGGCTGAAGGAAAGGCCATCTAGAGACTGACCCTCCTGGGGATCCGTCCCATCTGCAGTCACCAAACCCAGACACTATTGCTGATGCCAAGAAGCACTCGTTGAAAGGAGCCTGGCATAGCTGTCCCCTAAGAGGCTCTGCCAGAGCCTGACCAATACAAATGCGGATGCTCACAGCCAACCATTGGACTGAGCACGTGGACCCCAATGTAGGGTCCAGGGTAAGGACTGGAGGAGCTGAGGGTGTTTGCAACTCCATAGGAAGAAAAACAATATCAACTAACCAGACCTCCCAGAGCTCCCAGGGACTAAACAACCAACCAAAGAATACACATGAGGGGACCCATGGCTCCAGCCATATACGTAGTAGAGGATTGCCTTATCGGGCATCAATGGGAGAAGAGACCCTTGGTTCTGTGGAGGCTCGATGACCCAGTGTAGGGGAATGCTAGGGTGCTGAAGCTGGAGTGGGTGGGTGGGTGAGCACCCTCATAGAGGCAGGGGGAGGGGATAGGGGGTTTGTGGAGGAGAAACTGGAAACAGGGATAACATTTGAAATGTAAATAAACAAAATAACCTATAAAGACACACATATACAAAATAAAACTACACACACACAAGCTTTTACCCAGCAAACGAAACAATTTTTTAGAGTTTCAGAGACAATCTATTGACCGGAAAATATATGTAAATTAACACTGAACAGAGTCAACATTCAAAATTTATAAAGAATTCAAACAAGTATACTGTAAAAATATAAGTAACTCAATTTAAAAGTGGGTAAAAGATCTGAATAGATAGTTCATAAAAGTAGGTATATTAAGGAAGATATATGGGGGAGAAATGCCACCACCACCAACCATCAGGGAACTGTAACTCAAAACCACAAGGAGAGGCTAAAAAACAGCACAGAGGTAGAAGAACTCTTGCCTAGTCTAGCCTGGCACCAGCAACACACACAGGAAAAGTACAAAGACACCAGGCACTCCAACTTGATAGACTCTTAACAAAAAGACAAAAGATAACAAGTGTTGGTGAGGAGATGAAAAGGGAAACTTTTGCATTACTTTTGGTGAGAATGTAAAAGAGCTGAAAGAATCATTATAGACAACAGTGCAAAAATTCCTTAGAAAATTCAAAGGAGAACAATGTTGAAGAGAGCACACTCCTATGTTATAAAAGCTCTAGTCACAGCATTCAAGATACAGAATCACCTAAATGCCTCTGCCTACCACTAATGGTGAAAAAAACCAAGTGTAACAGATTGCAAGCAATTAAAAAATAATGACACCTTGTAACTTGTTACAACATGAATGAATCTAGAAGGTCTAAGTGGTATAAATCAAGCACAAAACTGCATGATCTCAACGATATGTGGAATCTAAAAAACAGTCTGATTTTAAAAAGAGTACAATGGCAATTACTGGAGACCAGGGTAACTAAGGGGCTGGGGAAGCTAAAAAATGCTGGTCAGAAAATACATAATCAAATTCAGGAGGAATAAATCTAGAGGGTTTTGTACATCAAGGTAACAATAGTTAATGACACCATGCTAAGTTTTGAAAATAGGGTGTGCTATGAGTTTTCACCATAAGAATCAAAACCATGAAAAACTATGCATTTGTTAGTGACCTTTAACCATTCAGGTATATATACTTCAAAATATTGCATTTATTAATTCATAAGAATAAATAATCAATAAAACCAAAGTGATTCAGCACACTTGAATTGGAAGTAACACTGATTTCTTTTTTAAATTTGTTTGTACTGCTACATACAAACAAAACCAGGCTCTTGCCTATGAAGGCGATCATTTTAGCACTGAACACATCCCTAGTTTAGCATAAATTTTAATATGCTTTTCTCTCTAAATAGTGTTTGTGGAGATCTTTATTCTGATGGCTATTATCAGTGACTTACTTAATGCCAATAAGTATAAAGATTTAAATAAATGGAAACATTCCCATGAAAAATATAACTTTCAAAACCCAACCAACAAGAAATCAAACATATAAATGGTCCCAAAATTATTGAAGAAGTTTAAATTGTAACTTAACCTCTGCAACACACACAAAAAAAACTTCATTCCTTGCCAATTTCATTTAGCAAATACTAGAAAAAGTCTTAGGAGTCAGAAATGTCACTTAAATTATCCCAGCAAATACAAACAGATGAAATACTTCTCAACTTGTTTATGTTTCCATGATATATTTGAGAAAATGGAAAGGGCATGCATTGTGGAAAGAGAAAAGTCCTCACTAACCTTACTTAAGAACATATGTAAAATTATCAAACAAGCTAGCAAAATTCATTTAGCACTGTATGCCATGGAGAATATATCATAATCAAGCTTGACTTAGCCTAGCACTTCAGTTTAGATTAATATTTTAAAATCAGTTAAAACAACTCACAACCCTAAAAAAAGAAATATCGTATTACTTTGAAAGGAGCAGAAAACCATTCAATAAAATTCAACATCCATTCACATTTCAGAAATAGAAGTGAATGGATTCCTTTATCCGATAAAAGATATTTAAATAAATACCAAATAACTTAATGAAACACTAAAAGCTTTGCCACTGATGTCTGCTTAGAGCTTTTAGTGTAATATGCTGGCAGGGGCATATTTACACTTTAAAGAACAATCTACAGAAGGTACTTCACTGCCAGGCAGGATAGTAGGTAGCAAACATCTACTGCTTCACTAAAATAACTAGCAAAAATTGGAGTTTTAAAAAAAGTATAGTTTTAAAGATATGAGAAACCATGAAAGCCACAATGACTAAATAAACTGAAATGTCCATCAAAAAAAAAAGTCCCTTTCTAGAGCCAAGATCACAGCCACGTTCTTCCCTAGAGGTTTCCTTTTGGAAATTAAATTGGCAGTTGTAGTTTAGGAGTCAGTGTTACTCCTGCAAAAGCAAAAGAGACAGATGCCATGAAGCCTTTCACAGACAACACACCTGCCCAGCAGAGGAGCCTGGGAGGGCCCTGAGACACAAAGCATAGTCTCAAAGGGCATTTACTGAGTGTCAGGGCAACACAGGAGACTGAGGATGGGTGTTGAGGTGAAGCAGGCAGAAGACAGAGGAAGGCTGCTTTAGCCTTGGGGTCCTTAGGGGACAATATTTACTCAGGCATGGAACCTGTAACCCTGAGTCAGGATCAGACACTGCCATGAGACTTGACAGATTTTGGAGTCCCATATAGACAAG